CACCAGCTCCATGTACCAAGGGTGGCAGGTTCGAACTTGGCTCCAGCCAAACTGCAACAAAAAAATAGCCAGGTGTTATGGCAGGCATCTGTAGTCCCAGCTACTCGGGAGGCTGAGGCAAGAGAATTGCCTAAGCCCAAGAGCTGGAGGTTCCTGTGAACTGTGACACCATAGCACTCTACTGAGCATGACAAAGTGAGACTCTGTCTGTAAAATAATAATAATAATATTGTAAAATAAATGTAAATAAAGAATCAAGACTAGGGGTGGCCAGCCTTTAGCACTTTGTGAGGCTGCTGCAAGAGAATTGCTTGAGGTTAGTTTACCCTGAGTAACAGCACGATCCTATCTCTACAAAAATTTAGCCAGGCATGGTAGTATGTACCTATAATCCCAGCTAATTGGAAAGCTAGGCAGAATGATCTATTGAGCCCAGGAATTCAAGGTTACAGTGAGCTATGATTGTGCACTGCATTCTAGCTTAGGTAACAGAACCAGACCCTGTCTCTAAAAAAATTGTTGTAAATGATACACTAAAGTACTTGAGGAACTGGCCTGATACCTTATCTCAGTGGTTCTCAAAGTTCCTAATGCTATGACCCTTTAATACAGTTCCTCATGTTGTGGTGACCCCCAACCATAAAATTATTTTCTTTGCTACTTCATAATTCTATAATTATGTTCTTCATAATTAAGAAGAATTCAGTAATTAAGTTCTTCAAACTTCTGTAATTTTGCTACTGTTATGAATTATAATGTAAATATCTGATATGCAGGATGTATTTTCATTGTTACAAAGGGGTCTCAACCCCTAGGTTGAAAACTGCTGCCTTATCTGCATATCTGCAGCTTACTGCCCAGGGTAGAGTGCGGTTGTCTCATCATACCTCACAGGCACCTCAAATTCCTGGGCCTAGGCAATCCTCCTTCCTCACCCTCTCATGTAGCTGAGACTACAGGTATGATTCATTGTGTCCAGCTAATTTTTTCTTTGATCTTTTTTTTGGAAATAGAATCTTACTCTGTTGCCCTGGGTAAAGTGCCATGGCATCATGGTAGCTCATGGCAACTTCAAACTCTTTGGCCCAAGCGATTCTCTTGCCTCACCTCCCAAGTAGCTGGGACTACAGGCCACAACGCCTGGCTATTTTTTTGTTGTAATTGTTGTTGTTTAGCAGGCCTGGGCCCGGTTCGAACTCACCAGCCCTGGTGTATGTGACCAGCGCCCTAGCCACTGAGCTACAGGCACCAAGCCTCTTTAAATTTTTGGATTGGGAACTTTTCATAATAAAACATTGGTGGGGCTGGGTGTGGTGGCTTAGGTCTATAATCCTAGCACTCTGGGAGGCTGAGGTAGGTGGATTGCCTGAGCTCACAGGTTCGAGATCACCTTGAGCCAGAGCAAGACCTCATCTCTAAAAATAACTGGGCATTATGGTGGGTGCCTGTAGTCCCAGCTACTTGGGAATCTGAGGCAAGAGAATCACTTGAGCCCAAGAGTTTGAGGTTGCCTTTAGCCACCTCATAATTTTTGTGACAATGACTTGAGATGGTATGTATGAAGTGTGTAACACAGTGCCTGGCCCATAGTACTTACTAATCATCAGCTCTTCCCGGTGATAGTCTTTACATCTGTGGACCTTAAAATACTAGGGCACACAAGACAAGTCAAAGATTTGGCCCATCATTCTTAATATCAGCAAACATTTATGAAGCTCATAGATAGTGTTCTGTGATCTCCAGGCTCAGATACTCTGCCCTCTCATTCCTTCATGGCTGTGTGTTACTTGAACTAAATATCTAAAGGAGCATTGCCCAAAAAGCTTAGATTATTTCATTGGTGATAGCTGTATAGGGCGGTGTTAAGAAAAATTGACATTTTTCAGGATAGAGCTTATAATAGGAAAAGTTACCAAAAGGTATAGTCACGTCTTCCTACTTACGTCTCCTAGTGAGATGCTTTCAGAAGTAAAGTGTTGGGGCTCAGTGTCTGTGGCTCAACTAGCTAAGGCGCCAGCCTCATACACCTAAGGTGGTGGGTTCGAATCCAGCCCGGGCCCGCCAAACAGCAGTGACAGCTGTAACCAAAAAATAGCCAGGTGTTGTGGTGGGCACCTGTAGTCCCAGCTACTTGGGAGGCTGAGGCAGGAGACTCGCTTGAGCCTAGGAGTTGGAGTTGCTGTAAGCTGTGATGCCACAGCACTCTACCCAGGGGGACAGCTTGAGGCTCTGTCTCAAAAACAAAAAAAAAAAAAAAAGTAGAATGTTGGGAATCTCACAGATACCTCCAGTTAGGTATAGTACATTTGTTTACATTGTCTGTCCTATTAGATCAGGGGTCCTCAAACTTTTTAAACAGGGGGCCAGTTTACTGTCCCTCAGACCATTGGAGGGCCGGACTGTGGGCCCTGGGACGAGTCAGCTGCTAAGCAGTACGAGCAGCAGTGGCAAAACACCCGGCGGGCCGGATAAATGTCCTAGGCGTTGCATGTGGCCCACAGGCCATAGTTTGAGTATGCCTGTATTAGATCATTAAGTTTCTTGAGGGCAGAAACCATTTTCTTTAAGGCCAGATGTGGTGGCTCATGCCTTTGAATCCCAGCACTTGAGAGGCCGAGGTGGAAGGATTACCTGAGCCAGAGCGATACTTCGTCTTGAAAAATAGCTAGACATTGTGGCAGACGCTGGTAGCCCCAGCTACTTGGGAGACTGAGGCAAGCGAATCACTTAAGTCCCAGGAATTAGAGGTTGCTGTCATCTGTGATGCTATGGCACTTTACCCAGGGCAACAAAATGAGACTCTATCTCAAAGAAAACAAAAAAAGAAACCATTTTCTGGCTTGGCACCTGTAGTCAAGATTGCGTGACCTCAGAAGTTCAAGCAGTTCAACCATTTTCTGGCTTGGCACCTGTAGCTCACATACACCAGAACTGATGGGTTCAAATCCATCCTGAGCCGTCCAAACAACGACTACAACCAAAAAATAGCTGGGCATTGTGGCAGGTGCCTATAGTTCCAGCTACTTGGAAAGCTGAGGCAAGAGAATTGCTTAAGCCCAAGAGTTGAGGTTGCTGTGAGCTGTGATGCTATACACTGCCGAGGGCAACATAGTAAGACTCTGTCTCAAAAAAGAAAGAAAGAAAGAAACCATCTTCTTCAGTTGTATCACCTTGGCCTGTGATAGGTTAGCAAAAAGTCTTTTATGTTATTAAAACTTTCAAACAAGGCTCGGCGCCTATGGCTCAAGTGGCTAAGGCGTCAGCCACATACACCTAAGGTGGCGGGTTTGAATCCAGCCTGGGCCCGCCAAAACAACAACGGCTGCAACCAAAAAATAGCCAGGCATTGTGGTGGGTGCCTGTGGTCCTAGCTACTTGGGAGGCTAAGGCAGGAGACTTGCTTGAGCCCAGGAG